CCCATTATTGGTTGTTTCTAAATTATCCCCACGTGGCGGCTAGCGATTGGCTTGCTAGCCGTATAAGAGGCGTGAGCAGTTTCTGCCCAAGTCGGAGATCTCCGGGTAGGACCTCATTTAGGGGGACTCCGCATCCATCTCGTGGAGAACTCTGAGCCACGTGGTAGAGCCTAACAAACTCTGCGCGTGTCTCGGAGCCGACCGGTGGTTTGATCAGGTACCAAGACTCTCTCCCCGTCGCCGCATGATCTCTCGACGTACCGTACCCTGCGCGCTCGTCGAGAGTCACCTTTCGGACTCTCATTTCGGTCGTTCCACGGAACCTAGCAAACTCCGTGAGTGTGTATCCAGAGCTCTGTTCGTGTTTGTTTTGTGGAGCCTAGCAAACTCCGCGTGTGTCTTTTTGTAACTGCAACTCAAGAAAGTTTTTCCTGCCTGCACCGCGACCAGCTACGGTGTAAGTAAAACAGTCTTTAATCAACCCCTACGTGTCAGTGCCTAATTCTAGTTCGCCGTGCCGACCTTTTCCCCGGCCCATGTGCCCGGGCTGCTGGCCACAGCCCCTCGGCCCCGACACTCATCTTTTTATGTATACTTGAGTTGAATAGGTGTTAACAAAAAAACAAGTAGGCAGTTTGTAAGAAAGCAACTTTCCACTCAATTAGTCAAGTTTCATCTGCTTGGTATATAGTGCCATGGTCTTATCAGTTCTCAAGCAGGCCAAAGTTCTTCCAGGAAACAACAGGGGATTCAAGACCTGAATTTCTAATTTAAAAAACCACATGGAGGAAAATCCTTTTATTTAAAGAGTTTGGAGTGGGAACATACATCCATTCCTACTTTCTTTAGGCATCTAGAAAAGGGAAAGAAAATGTCACAAGGCTGTATTTTTTCCTTTTGTAAGATTGCCTGTTGCTACAAACGTTGACGCATATTTTATTTTATCTGTTGTTTCCTAAACAGGCCCTGGCCCTTTAAACTATACTGTTATTTCATTTGGATTTCTCTGTGGCTTCTGAAGTGGTAGGTCAGATTTGACTCACTGGTGTAACTAACAGATATGGACTTGCAAATGACTAATTTACTTGGTTTGATAAGATCTTTTACCTCTCCCAGAAAAGACATTTTTCTTCATAAAACATGAAGCTATTAGGACATGAAACATTTCCTTCCATTCAATGAATTCAACCTCTCCACTGGAGGCAACCGCTCATTCCAGGATGCTCTATACTTGACGTAATCTCCTCTGGAAATTGGGCTATTTTGGACTCTACTGACAACAGCAGCAATGTCATCAGGCAGCAAGGAACACAATCATTTGAAAATGTTGCCTCTTAAAATGAGAGACATTAAAAAAAAGGGAAGATGTTAATTCTGTATCCAGCTGTGTGTAATTTTGTGAAGCAGAATAGGAGTGAGGGAAGAAGGGGGAATAGATTTAAGATGGACTTTGGGGCAGTGTTTAAATATCACCATGGAGATTGTTTAAACAGGCTGTATGTAGGGTGTGGGTGTGTGAGAAAATATTTATTTAGTGTTACTTCTTTTGAAGAGTCAGTGTTTTGCCATCTTTGGAGACAATCAAACCACTATGTTCCAGTTTTCATTTGGGTTATGTGATAGGTGCCCCTGAAAGAAAGGATATTTTACCCTTGTCATCTTGCTATTGGTTTTGCTTTATAATATTTTTCTTAAATAAATGGAGGGAAGATTATCTTACCCCTTCCTGCTCCAATGGGAACTGGAATTGGAGGACTCCATAAGTTGATTGTGTAACTAGCAAGCAAAAGGAAGAGAGTGGCATGGAAATAAGAGGAGAGAGGGAGAAGGTAATGTGTTCTGGAGAGACCTCATACAGTAGAATTCAAGCAGTCTTGTTCAAGGAGAGAGGGGGAGGAAGAGACCTGTGTGCTAGAGACTTTTGTTTTGGTAAACACACACCTTTGAAGGGACAGGAAGTTATATATATGGTGTGGGCTCCCCCAAGAATTCAATGGATGATGTGTGTAAATTGTCAGATAAGAAACTGTACTTACATTTTGCTTTGAGAGGAAGTTTTGTTCTTTCATTTTTTCTCCCAGAATAGGGAGCAGCTTTAGGGCCTTAGTCAGGGGGCTGAGTAAAGCAGGCTAACTGGAGAACTTGCGGAAGGTCCTGGCAGAAAGTTCAGAGGCATAAGCTGTTTCTAACTTGAGCTAGGTAGGAGCTGCAGTCTTAGGTTTAAGATGCAGGGTAAGGTCAAATTGTTGTTCTGATATTTTCTTTTGTTTGTGTGTTCTTATACCTCCGTCTGCATCTCAACATATTACTGATTTCTTATGTTTGCTCTTTTTTTTTATAATCTTTCTGTTATCTTTTAACTTGCTTATAATCAGGCTAAGTGTGATTTCAGAGTATTTGACAATACTAGCAGGCCTCTTATCCAGGAGAGTGAATCTATCTTTTCTGAGCATGTGACTGGATAAGGGTGTGATTCTGCTAGCTTGCAGCATCCCTTCTGTTGAGCTGGCAAGACCTAGATGAGGCAGGTAAAGTTGAGGTACCAGACGTCAGAGAGGTGAACTTTGTAGCATCTCAGTCTGTTCTCAGTGGGCATGAGCGACTGGTGCCCCCTGAGACTGGGGGACACCATGGCGGTGAGTGGGGATTGCCCGCAGCTGCTGCCGGCAGTGTCAGCAGTGGAACAGGGTCGTGGCGGGGAGGGTGGCAAGCGGCAAGTGGAGACTTCCTGCAGACACCACCAGCTGTGTCAGCAGCGAAGGGGGTGTGCGAGTGGCGACTGTCTGCAGAAGCCAGTAGCAGCTTCGGTGGTGGTCAATCTTGGGGGGGCATGTGCCCCCCACCCCTCCTACACATTGCCTAAGTCAGTGGTGAAGCAGCAGACAGCAGAGAGGGGCACCTGGAAGGTGTGAGAACACTCCAGGAGTGTGTCTTAGAGGCACCCCTGGCCACCTCTGGTGTCATGGCATGTCAGACTTGAAGGTAGAGTCCCACCACACAGCAATGGGTTGGGTCACTGGCTACACTACATGTATAACAGCTTCAGCTGTAAGGGGTTAGCAACAAAATGCTTTGGAGACACTGGCCCCATCTGCACATTTCACTTAATGCATGATTAACCAATTAATTACACTTTAAGTGGTTACCTGGCCACACATTTATTCAGTTAATGGTGTGATAAAAAGAGGAATCAGCTAAACATTTCTTCCACAGAATACCTGTAATAACTTTGTAGATGCTTCCTATCATGCTATTAATTGAATGTGTGGCCAGGGACCCTTGTGGCTGGGAGCCATGTCAGCTGATTAGAGCTCCCAGCTGGGGGGACCAGTGTGCACTCCTGAGCCTAGGAGCTCCCAGCTGATGCTGGCTCTCAGCTGCGGAGCACATGCCTCTGTGGTTGGGAGCCCCATCAATTGCTAGGGTTCCCAGCTGTGGGGATGCTTCAGACACCCCTATCCATTGGTGCATGAAGTCAGTTGCAGTCTCTCAGCCACGGGGGTGCATGAAAGCACCCCTGAAGCTGGGACACCACATCAGTTGCAGCATCCCTGCTGTGGGGACCAGGTCAGCTGATGGGACTCCTTGCTGTGAGCCTACATGGTGTGCTGGCATGACTGGGAGCCCCATCAGCTGAGGGGGATGTAATTTCCCTGCACCAGCAATAAGCGCACACCAGCACCCACAATCATGTCTCCTGCCATGCATTTGTGGCATTGCAAGAGATGCAACTGTGTGGATCACGCATTAGATCCCATCGTGTCTTTACCTGCATGTGCAGAGGGGCCCACCATGCACAAGGATGGTTGTTCTCCTGAAGGTTTTAAATACCCAAACATTTTTGTTACAGTAAAGGCTGCTGCATCATATCCTCTGAACCCAGATTATAGCATAAACCCTCCTGCTGTACCTCAACAACTGTGACATGGAGATCTTTGCATATAGAGTATGTATGTGTTAATGCTTTAAATATAGACTTGGGTAATATATTAGTGATATATACTAAGAGGAAAGGAGAAGACTGCAGCTGATATTAGCACCTCTAGTATCTGCAGATGAAATGGGTAAATCCTTGAGGTGGCAATCTGCAGAGTATCTCTGATCACATGTCCCTGTGGGATAGAAAAAGGTAACAGGATAAATGTGCTCTGGATCTTTCTAAATTCATTTTTCAAAGGATTTGCATCATTTTCACTGTGTTTTTGTCTTGTTTTTCTCTGTAGGTGGATGAAATATACCATGATGAGTCCCTGGGAGTTCACATTAACATTGTTCTGGTCAGAATGATTATGGTGGGATACCGACAGGTAAGGACAGGGATTGAGTGAGCAGAAGATGCCATCTGGGGCATGGGGGAGGGAGATCATAATATAAAGTGTAATCAGGCTTAAGTTTAGGGAGGCAGTGGATGTCCAGACTGGGTTACATCTTAAATAAACCCCTCCAACTAATTTTCCCTTCTGTTTGGACTTGCTGCTTTTAGATTGGTGTACATGTCTGGGAGGATGACTCAGTCTAGTTGTATATTATTGTTAGAATTAGGGATCTTCTCAGCCATGGTTCTCCCTGAACCAGTTCTCTGTGAGGATGTGTTTGACATCCAAATCTCTTGCAATATGGTTTTAACCGCAGAAAGTCCGCAACAAACGGGATTTCAACACAGAACCTTGGAAGATGGAAAAAAAAAGGGGAGAAGAGTTCATTTTGAATGCAGATAAAATTATTTTTAGAGTAATATCATAGAGTAGCAGTGTAAAATTGAGTAGAGTAAGGTAAATTCTCTACTCTGAATAGCTATTTTTGATCTTTTGCTAAAATTTAAAGGGTGATGGATTTCTGTTTAAATATGAAAAATTGCCAGTGTTCCATTTGCTTTTAGCAGCTGTAATATGCTCTTGCTTTGCAAATGGAATGGAAACTATCTTGACTCTGTCTCTCATGTGAGGCTTGCTGAAGTTTCTAGACTCCAAAATTTTTTCTTTTACAGAAAACAAACGTGAGCATATCTGCATGGTACAGTATCCCTGTGGCTGCTAACTACAGCACTGAGCTGGGTCTGTGTGGAGTGCAGCAGAGTTAATTTCTTTGTAATTATCATCTTATTTGGTGAATTGAAGTTAATTTTTAGTTGCAGGGATTTTCTGTCACACTGCTGTGCAGATAGGAGAAGCACCTTTTTTTAGACCCTAAAGAATTTGGCTTATGCTTTTTTGTTTACTGTATACAGTTGCAAGGAAAGGGCTCATTTTGAGGAGAGGCACAACAGTCAGTTGTCACCATTCACCAAGGGGAATTGGTTCAAAGCAAGTCTGGCATAAAGTCTAATGACAATAATATTGAGCACTTAAACCCTGAAAATTGTTACTATTCATAACAGCTCTCTTGCTCATGCTCCAGACACATTGCAGTCCAGCTGAGCAATTGCGTAAATGCTGTCATGGGCAGAGATGGATTTAAGCACTTAAGTGCTTGTCTGAATTGGGACCTGGTGATTCACATCCTTACAGCCTGGGATGAAGGTTAACCAATCCTTATAAAGGTCCATCAGGTAAATTCTTCCAAATGAGGAAGCCAACTCACAGAAAGGCTACGAAAATTGTCCAGGGTCACACACTGAATCAGTGGTAAGGCAAATATTTAACATAGGATTAGTTCTCTGGTCAACTCATGGGAAAAGGTTTTGCCTCTGAATGAAGGGGACTCAGGTCTTATGGGTTCAAATTCTGATTTGTCACTTATTTGCAGTATGATCTTGGACCTCCTTGTGCTTATGCCTCCATCTGCAAAGTTGAGATAATAGTATCTGAATAACAAGGCTGATGTGAGACCGGCCAGCTGTTGTGGAGCACTCTGAGATACTCTCATTAAAGGTCCCACAGTAGAAGGTCTACGTACAAAGTTTAAAGTGCCAAACTAACTTCATGCTTACATCAGTGTAAGTGGTCTGTTGGTTGCTGGCAGTGTTATATTTAAATGCATAAAAACACTCCTTTTACTAGGCAGTCATTCAGACTTACCTGAGTCACTCAGTATCAGTTTTGGAATAGGAAACAATTAAAAAGAATCTGTTGGAAGTTTCTGGCAAAACGTGAATTGCCTGGTATTAAAAAATAGGGGGGAGGATTCTTTATTCAGGCTCCTGGAAATGGAGAAGCCATAGTTTTCTCTAGCTAAGAAGCTGTTTAAGAAAAGCCTGTGTCTATACAACAGAGCTGGTGCTAAGCTGTTTTTTTTAGCAGTGGTCCCTGAGGAGTTAGGTGAGCAAAACAGGCAGGCCCTGGAGGTTATTTGGAGACTTAAGGCCATGGTTTCTGAAGTTCTGGCCTTGACCTAGCAGTTGTGTAAGGGGCTGCTGACTAGACTACAACACTCAAAGACTGTATCTTTTAATAGTGGATAAATATGGTGAGAAAAAGCACGGGAGAGTTTAATGTTGGGTTGTTTTTTTTTGACTGATTTGTCAGAAGGGATTTTATAAAGCTTGTTTGAATGTGGTATTCAAAGCATTTTCCTTAGAACATAATGCAATTTGATGCACTTTTTTAGGCAATTCATTACCCTGTTGAGAACATAGCTGGAAGATTCATGCATCTCTATGCAGACCAACTCATCAGTGTAGTTTTCTGTGTGTAGTACATAAATAATCCTGCCAGCTGAAGAAAAGAGACATTGTGTAAGCTGTTGTAGGTAAAAAACACTAGCATTTTCCAGGAGAATACTGGTTACCACATAAATATTCTTGGTGAGCAGAAACACAGTGCACCTTAAAAATGATTCTCATTATTTCCTAGGGGTATAAGGAAAAGATTGAGACAGCCTACAGTGTGGCAGGTATCAGGTTCATCACCTGGTCTAGCCTTGTGATGATATATTGAAGGTAGACAGAATTAAAAATCAAAAAGTGACAGCTAAGAGCTTGTAAATGGAGGGGGAGGGGATGAAAACTTAAACACCTCATTTTGTATGTAGGGAGTCGGATGACCTCCTGAGTTTGCTTCCAACCCTAATTTTCTATGATTCTAAGTTAAATCTCTGCCATTGGGGATCCTGTATGATGCCCAAGGCCTCATGGTTGTTTGGGTTCAGAGGAAGACAAGAAGGTAATAGGATTGCCAAATCTGACTGAAGCTATTCTGGGAGATTCTTTTCCCCACCATGACATAATGTCATTAATTGTACTGTTCAACTTGTTCACAATATCAGTCTCCAGGATTGCTTTCAATAGTCACTGGGGGATCAATACTGATTCCAGTAGACTCCTGGTCAATCCGGGAGGGTTGGCAACCTTAGAAGGTAATGCTCAGATGTTTGAATCTGCATTTGAGGAAAAGCTCAGTCAGCTACTAGCTACCTATGAGCAATTGCTGCTGGAATCCTCATATAGCCCCTGGCTGATAACATATGACAGATTAAACAGGTTTAATGTTTCCTCTTGATTACTGATAAAGTTGCCAGCTTTCTCTGAAATCTCAAGGCAGCTTCCTAGGTTTGTTTTTTGCTTCTTGATTTTCATTTTATACTATAAAAAGTTTTTAAAAAAAATCACAGAAGAGACAAAGTTTCTCATAGTCTTAAAGATGTGTCAGTTCAACAATTAGTTTATAACCAGTGAAGCAGATGGAAATGTCTGCAAAGCAGATGCACTATAGGAGTTGAGCCCTTTGTGGTAAATATAGTTCCACAGAATTTTTAGAATATAGTTGCTCCAATAAATGATTTAGGGGGGGTAAAAGAAAAGAAAATTAGAATCAAGGAAGTTACTGTAAATGAATCACAGAGTCTCAAATGCTGATTTTTATGAGGATCTTAGATGTATGGTTCAAGTTTTTCAAAACTGGACATTGCTATGCTCAGTTTTGCAAGGTTTAAGTGACAATTACAATCCCATTTTCAGAATGACTTGGGTGTCTAGCTCCCATTAACTTTCAGTGAAATTTAGGCTCTTTCGTGCCTAAGTCACTTTTGAAAATGGGACTAAGTTATGTTACCAAGGTCCTGCAGCGCTGTGCAGAACAGTGCCTAAATGCCTTTAAAAATTAGAACCAGGTGCGTTTACTGGAAGTGATATGAAAAATCAGTGAACATTTACCAATGGAAACAAAGCTCCAAGCCTCAGTGCTTTGAAGGGCTTTTCATCTATTCGCTATAAAATCATAGAGCAATTCAATCAAAAAACTGCTAGGTACTAATCCCCTAAACTTTGCACCACCCCAAGTGGACCCTACTGCCTAGACTTAGCCTCTCCTTCCTTTTGTTCTGCTACTGAGCAGCCATATAACCAGGTGGGGAGTTGTGAAGGTTTTAGAGGCTGCAGCCCTGTTTATCTTGTCACGGGATGGCTTAATGTCTGAGTTCTGACCTTTTACTTCCTGAAACCACAGGATGCATTCTTGACAGTGATGCCTCAGCCTTTAGTCTTTTTGCAATAGATTGAGTGGGATGTTGCTTACTAAGTATGGGTCATTTTAAAAGTCAGATCCTCTGTGCTCTGTATGAAGTACTAACACAGCTTTCCAGAAGAAGTAGGTGTTTACCTTTAAGTCCTTGGCCAAATTATGCCTTCCCAGTGTACTGTATTATTGTTTACTGTATATCAAGCAGCCTCCATTGGTGGTGATGGTGTTGCACATCTGGTGTCAGGGGGTTCTCCATCTGGAAATCTTTCCTATATTTGCCCCCAAACTCTGGCTAAGGTTATTTTCCTGCTAACCTACTTGCCTTTGTTTTCTTTCCCAACTAGTCTGTCAGCCTGATTGAGCGAGGGAACCCTTCTCGGAGCCTGGAGCAGGTCTGCCGCTGGGCTCATTCCCAGCAGCGCTCGGATCCAGAGCATGCTGAATACCATGACCATGCAGTATTCCTCACCAGGCAAGATTTTGGTCCCGCAGGTATGCAAGGTACTGTATTATCTCCATCAGGTATGTGTAGTTTGCTGGGCTTGAGGGAAAGCCAGCAATTGAAAAGGATTTTCCACTGACACAGTCTTTGTCTCAGTGACCTTAGGTAATTGTCCAATAGGCCTCTGGAAAAAAGTTATATAAAATAGTATTTAATAGGACAAATGGAGGCAAGACAAAATTGGAGTATTAACTTGACCTGGAAAAAAAAAATCAAATGGAAAAATCCCTATCAATTAGATACCTGGGACAGCAGTCATGGGTAAGTAAAACCAAAAGGGCAAAGCTAGTAAGATGAAATGTAAAAAGAGGTTACTATTTCAAGTCATCTCATTGTGCTCTGTTGAAAAACCGCTGCAATCCCAATATATTACAAACTGATTTTAACAGAGCCAATTTCTTGGTCACTATAGAGCTGAGTGAGAATGTTCCAAAAATTCAGGGCCAGAGGTACAGTTTTGACCAGTATGCCAAATGCCTTTGCAATTTGCAGACTCCTGTTGACCCTTGGCCTTACAAGCAGTGGTGACAGTTTAAGAATTCCAAAGCTCTGATGAACAGGTACGAGTGAATTTAATGTAGAGGCTTTGATATTGATGTTTATTTTGAAAAACAAATGTACATGGCAGGCCTTCTGCAGCAGTATGAGGGTTAACTTCTTTTATCTTAGCATGTTCCAGGATAGTTAATACCATCACCTTTAAAAGATTGATTCCAAACTCCCTCCCACTCATTCTTTCTCTAATGTCAGGCATAGGAAAAGAAACATGAGCTAATCTTTGTTAGGCTTTCTGTGAATAAGGGTCTTGAGTTGATAGAGAATTTGAGGATTAATTACAGTAGATACCCAGAGGTCATTAAGGTCTTTACATTACATTCTTGAGTGAGGTATTGGGTGTCCGAACAGTCTGTATCACGAAGTAGAATGCCTGGCTCAAAATGCAAAGAATACAGCACTAAACCATTGACTTCAGAACCCAGAACTTCTTGGGGAAGTCAAATTTAACACCCTCCTTCATTTGGAAACGTGGTTTAGAATTGTATAGCTATGGTTGTGAAATATTTCAGTTTTCCAGAACCTTCCTGGCCAAGTGACTGTGTCCAGATAAACAGATTAAAGGGCTTTTTTTGCATGTAGACAAATGAAGGAGACTTGCAAGACTCTATCTTGGTGGGAAGGAGACTTAAAAAAAAAATCAGTGTGGGATTTACCTGTGATTTTTATCCCAGGGTGAAAAGGAAAAAGCATTGTAAGAATGTATTTGGTGGGGGAGGGGGTGGAGATCTAGGGCTTCTGTGACAGAGGGGTTCTCTTTCCAACTGGCCGAAGCTTGCAGGTAAATCCCAGTGTGAGAAGCTCCAACCCACAATATGGAATCAAGGTACATTCCATAGACACTCCAGTCCCTGGTCTCTCATCTTTATTTTTTATCCCCTTCCTTTCTATGTAATTCCAAAGGGCAAATTTGCTTTCAGTTGTGTCCCATGTGTCCTTCATGTTGTCACTCAGTTTTGTTGGCATGACTTACTGTGACTCTTCATCAGAAACTGTTCTTCCTTCTCCCCTGGTAGTGGGAGGGCTAGGAAGCATGGCTGAGCAGATCTGTCCTAATATGCAGATAGACTGCGAGTAAGACCTTACAGTGCATCTAAGCAATGGACAGGGGGGATCATAACTTATCAATTTCTGACAAAAAATGTATTAATACTGTAATGGAATAATGTTTCTTCACTTCTTCTGCAGCAGGTACACAGGGCACTATAGTTCATAATGACTATTTGTTACATTAGAACTTCTACTTTTCACATAACTCATTGCTCCAAAACGTTCATCTTCTGTGCAGAAATTTTTCAGGCTTCATCTTTGCCTGAACTTATCAGATGGACCAATGATCCTTCAAAGCTGGTATGCTTTCTCTGACAGCAGCTAATGCCAGATATATCAGAAAAATAGCTAAGTTTTCATAATGGATGATAATGTGATAACATGCAATTAGAGGAAGTCTAATTGCCAGCTATTATTAACTGGGACACTATAATTAACCATATAAATATCTAGCAATATTTTGCATCCTACTGCGAGGCCCACAGGTTAAATATTTTCCATATAAAGTTATCCTTTTTTATCCTCTTTTACGTACATTCACTATTCCCTTTCTTTGGTTTTATGTTGTGAGAGAAAAGTGACCTTTTCTATAGAATACACTTTTACATGCACCTAAATCCTATCCCCTGTCATTCACTCTAAATATATTGACTCAGTTTTCATACAGAAGACATTCTATAGTCTCTAATAATTTTTGTTGTCCATCTCTGGACTATTTCTATTTATTCTATATACCTTTTGAAATTATTTGGCCTGAACTGGACACACTATTTTAAGGTCTGGTCAGTGGACATGCAAGGGGGTTAATATATTTTCAGTATCACACTCTATCACTTTCTTAATTCAGTAATATCTTCATTACCTTTTGGACATGCATTTTAAGCAGAAGTTTTCAGTAAGCTGTCAGCAATTACACACTGGTCGTTTTCTGACAGTGATTTAGTTTGTTTGTCTAGTAGGAAGTTTGAGTAAAATTGCTTATCCATTTAAGTTCCTATTGGATGAAAAATAAGTGCTTCCCATTTAGAACTACCAAACTGTTTTGTTTTTTTGTTTTTTTTGTTTTTTAGAAAAGGCCACATGGAAAAGAGCTTGGGAGGCAGATTTTACCTGTGGAAGGCTAGTGACTTGAGTGTGTTTGAAAAACAAGAAAGCTATTACATTAAGAAATCATACTTTGAAAAGTGGAAAGAAGCCCTATGTAAAATATCAGTGCAGCGGATGAAGAGTTGCTGAACATAAGAAAAAATGTGCAAATCCATTAGGCACTGAAAATGTCTGTTATTTGGCAGATAATTTAATCCATGAATGGTACTTGATCAGTTATTGAGTTGATTGACTACCATTAACATTTTTTGTTAAATAACTTATTGATTCAGACTGGCAAAATTGTTGACTAATGTACTGGCTGAATAATACTAATCTATCCATTCTCTTTCAGTAGGCGTACATATTTCATGCAATGAAAAATCATGGTCAGGTATTTGATAAACTACTTCATGTTGAGTTCTTCTTAATAGGAGGTTAGGAAACTGCTGCTTGGGAGATGCCTGGATCTTGGCTTAGCTGTATAGCCTCAGTGTTGTCCTTTTAAAGTCTTTTGGTCATACCAGTCAGAGGCCTGATAATTCCTGTCCTGGTTCACACTTCTTCCCACCTGATTTCTCTTTACTGGGCTGGGTGTTCAATAATGCCAGTGTATCCAGTGATGTGGCCATAACAGGCTGTATCTGACAGCACAGCCCAGTAAAACACAACTGTATTTTGCTCCCCTGCTCCTATCCACTCTCATCTATTCTGGGCTCCATATAGCTCAGGCTTTAAACTACCTCTTTTAGATTGTTTCAGGGAGGTCTCTGTTTTGTTCTCTTGACTGAAATCCCTCTTTAATAACCATAGCAACAAAGGGCATTTTTACGTACGCTGTGGGATGCAGCACCAAGCAGTTTAATTAGTGACCTGTGCTAATTAAAAGTGATCGTGTGTCACATGATGTGCAGCAGCATCCCCATACTGATAAAATGGTGGCAGGATGCTTTGAATGTGCTCATCGAATGTGTTTAATTTCAAAGTGCCCCACCACCATTTTTTCAGCATGGGTGTGGCAAAGTGGGAACTCCTGACTAGCCACAGTGCTCGCCTCCTCACCTGCCTCTGGGCATGCTGCCCGCCATTCTTTCCTGCCATGCCTTGATGACACATAATTAAGGTGTTAATTAGGCAGGAGGCTGCCCTTTAAATTTCCTGGTCTCCTGGGCCTATGTATGCAGCTCCAACCACCCCTGTACTGCATCTCAAGCCTCGCAGATGTTCCTAACAGCTGAGTTCTGCTCTGACCTGGGGCTGGGCTCAGCTCATCCCAATGCTAGACCTCTTGCTTTCTGCCCTATTACAGGCCACACTCATACTGCCTCTCTCTCACTGAGACCTCTCCCACTCCACTGCCTCTCACACTGTCTCTCTCATACTGCCCCTTTTCAGGGCCACTCTCATACCGCCCCTCCTTTTCCTGGGGCCACACTCACCCTGCCCTTGCCTGAAGCGTCCTGGGGCTTGTTTCCCTGCACTCTCCGGTCACCAAGCGCATAGCCTCTTGGGCCTCTCCCGCGACCATCATTCAAGCGAGTGCTGGGTAGTTTGCAGAACAGTGGAGTGACTCTGCCTCTAGTCCCTGACTGGGTTGCTCACCCATCTGCTCTGATTAAAGGGCTCATGACTTGCCCCATTGTTTACCTGTAGCACTTCCTCAGCCACTCCATCCAATCGGCCTCTGGCCCACCTGTGGCCTCAAGCACCTGAAGGCTTACCTGGACCTAACCTGGCCTCCATGTTAGCAGGGCCTACCCTCAAGCCCCCTGCTCACCACGACCCACTTCACGCTCTTTTTTCCCAGGGCCTTATGTTAGGTCCCCTGATCATGGGGCCTCACTACACGCCCCTCTCGGCAGTTGCATGTTGCCACTATATCCTGGTCCCTAACTGCGGACACACACACACACACACACACACACACCAACACACACACACACACACACACACACACACACACACACACACACACACACACACACACACACACACACACACACACACCTCCCCACAGAGAGTCAGGGGTCCTTGCTTAGCCTCTGGGCACCTTGCCTCTTCACTAGCTCCATAGCCCTTGCTAGGCTCTCCAGGCCTCCCAGCTGCCACTCTGGTGCTGGCTGTCAGGTGTCCCACTGCACCCCGCCCTCCACCTTCACCTCCACTGAGGTGTATATTCTGCCCCCCTACTCTGGGGCCTGGGGTCACACACATGCCCCACAGGCTCAGGTGGCTGAAACTGTGCCTGACCCTACTCTCCGGGGTCTTGCACCCCACATAGGCTCAGGTGGCCACAGCTGTGCCTGGCCCCCAACTACGTCTGATGTTAATTGACCCACCTGAAGGTGGGTGCTGGAGTTCAGGTGCCCCTACTCCCCTTCCACTGGGGTGGTAACTGGCCTGCCATTTCTGTTCCACCACAAACCGCCCTGCCCGGCCACCCATCCCCAGCAGGGTGCAGTTTTAGGTCGTGCCCAGGACCAAGAGCCTCCTAACCTTCCCCATCAGTATTGCCCTTACCTCCTGGTGTTACCGGAGCAGCAGCTCCACCGGGAAATGTTGTTTCCTCGGTGTCAGGCAGCAGAGTGCTGTGCTGTGCTGTAGCACTCTGCTAGCCTGAATCTTAAAATGGCCACTCGTCAGAGCTGAGCCGCACCTGCTGGTTGCCTCTTCAGGCTCTTAACGTGGCAGACACCGGGGGTGCTCTACCACACACCTCCCTTCCACGTCAAATGTGTCAGTGTCCCCATGCACCCCCGTGCTGAAAAAATGGCAGTGGGGCACTTTGACTCGATTAATCGAGTCTGCTCCAGTGTGAAATCCAGCACGTTGAAGCAGGCTCCCACACATCTCTAGGAGCACAAAGTTACCAACCCTCGAGCCACCTATAGGCATATCACACCCTTAGCCCTAGCACCAAGGACACATGCTTTTTCAACTGGCTTTTTTTCTTCCTTGATATTCCAGTTTATAAAGTAGGAAGGCCACTGCTTTCTCACTTCCTTATTCCTATTTCAGACTGGCTCTTAGGGCCCTGACTTTGGCTCAAGCAAGTGGGCCTCTGTAGGAGCTGAGAAGTCATGTCTCATCCATTTCCTTGTTTGCACACACAGCTGATTGCCTTATGTGTAACTGCTCATTGTTATGGGTAAATCTGAACATAACTCTGACTCTACACTGAGCTTGCGTCTGCAGAGTCACTGGGAAGACTTTTTGAGTGAATACTTTATTCATTAATGTTGCCACTTTTCATCAAGTGATTTGCTGGTATTGGGAACTCCCTAAGATGAGCACACCTACTGCCAGGAAGCAAACATTTACAAAAGCATTTGATTGAAATTTGGTTTCTTAAAAATTGCCTTTACCTCAGGAGTCCAGTACCATCAGAACCTCTGGCCCTTCATTTAGGAGGGGTTCTCAGGAAACCATTTATTTCTGTTTTAATTTTTCATGCTTTGCCAGCTCCACAATGTACCGATCCACCCATTCATTCAGGTTTCAGCAGAATTACATCCTTCTTCTCCACCCTGTTCCAGAGTAATTAATATTAGTTGTTCCACTGCTGCTGGGTTTCTATGGAATGAATGGCTCAGAAGATACATGGTGAAAGGAGGTTAGGGCAGTCACACTTCCTGGAAAAGCTGCAGTGGCAACTGCAAAGTGTCAGTGTTCAAAATAGGGATGGCAGCCTGAGGACTGTCTTAGTCAACTTGAAAGCATACTTGGAGCACATGGACAGCCATGTCGTTTTCTAACAAGGGAATTTTGATGACTTTCTCTGCTCCTTTCCTGACTTCTAGTGCCATCACAGCAAGCTCAAGTTAATATGCTAGATCTCGTTCAGATTGTCTTCAGAGCCATGCTTTTATCAAGTAGGAAGGAAATGGCCCTCTGCAGGGAAAGCAGACATAAGCATGGCCACTGCTCTTGTATAGAGTCCCATCGTGTCCTCATGCTCTGGAGTGCAGGCTCCTCTGGCTGGTTTTGTGATGAGATATCTGAAACTACTGGGCAAATGTCATCATACTGTTGAGCCCAGTGGTTATGTATGCCCCTCCCTGCTCTGACTTAATAGTGGATGCATTGAGTTATTGGGGACTGTGTGGGTGCATGTGTGTATATATCTCAAAGCCTTCTTGCTGCTTGTGTTGCTTTAGATTATCTTTACATAGGGCTCTGAAGTTTGAGAGATTTCTCCCTGTCCTTTATTTTATCTCTCCCTTTCTTTTTCATCTGAACTATTAAAATTTTGAGGGCAGTCAGGTCCAATCAGAAGTCTAAAAGACTGAAGGGGGAATCCAAACTCAAAGCATCCTTCTGGGCCAACATCTGGTCATGGTTTTGGAGTAAGAATATCAGTGGTGTCAAGGTGTAGAAAGAACAGCAATCATGGCAAAGCCTTATATGTAGAGTGAGGTGGGGCCAATCAGTACAGGGATTAGATATTTTACCTAAACTCCTTCCCTTGGTTACATGTAAAAAGACGGTCCCATTTTTGTTTCTACTGAAGTGTTGCTCATTTTATAAAATAACCATGTACCTCAGGATCTTGGTAGCTTCCATTTGGGAAAGCCCCTGGGTATCTGTAGTAGAACTCTGCAGGTGAGGATGGGATAGCTGCATCCACACAAAGAGCTGTCAGGCTCTAAGGAAGATTTGAGCTGAGACGCATCAGCCAAGCAGGCACATCAGTCCACTTCATTTGCACTTTTGTGGTTTTCATGAACACTAACATTCACTCTTGAAATGGACGTAGCCACACAGCTCTTGTTGGGATGCTGTTTTGTGACCTGTTTTGTACTGAATTTCTCTGGAGCAATCAAAGTGGTACCCTGCTTTGGCTGCTCTTTGCCATTGGCTCAGAGATGGTGGCTGCCATGACTGATGAAGGACCTGCAAATTCTTTTGAAACCTGTAGCAGGAGATGGGGTTAAATTGAATGGGAAGGTACTTGAACATGTGCAATCTGGTTGGTCAAGATATATTGACATTAAGGTATGGAAAGTATGACAAATGTTTGGATGTGTCAGTGTAACATTAGTCTGTTCTTGGCACTGGGAGCCATGGTGACCTCACTGGAAATCAAGTGCATGGCCCCTGGCTACTGGCCAAATGTTTTACCATTTGTAGAATTTGGTCCACTTGTGGGCTGAAGATTTTTCATTGGTAGTGTTTGTTTTCTCCTCTCATCACAGTAAAGTCTTATCTGCATGCCCCTTATCCTGGACCAGGAAGGGCTGAGAAGGTAGGTTGGTTTCCAGGCTGATTCAGTCACTTATTTTTCTCATGAGACTCATTTGAGGTGATGTTCACCTCTCCACTGTGAACTGGGTTGAGACTGGCAGCCTACTCACACAATCAGTGTTTTCAGCAACTACTGATCGGTCCAGAGTCAAATCAACAATTGCAAGGTGAAAGCTTTGTAATCTATGACCTGTCCATTCTGCCACCTGGTCCAATATCATCCATGGAAAATTATGAAGGAAACTATAGTGGGATTAATCTGAGAGGAAACTGGCAAGTCAGACATGTAGCAAAAGATGTGAATAGGTGCAAAAGGGACAAGAAATGCATCACATGTATTTTCAGTCCAGTTAAACAGGTGGTACATGGATTACAGCAGTTGCTGATGCACATGTCAAAGATGAAAATTATACCCTCTCCTCTCTTAGTGTGAGAATCAGTCAGGAATGAATGTAACAGTCACTGTGGGGGTGTGTGGTGAGATTCAAACAATATGTAATTTCAATACTTTCTGAGCCCATTTGCTTCCATGAGATATGAGCCAATGGGACATATGATAGGCTTCATTTACATTAATTCCTAGGCAGCTGCAAGGACCATGTCTCTCAGCAGTAAGCTGAGCATGAAATATGATTGCAATGGCTCTAGTGTGTGGTTCTTCCCTTCTCATGACTGCCTCCCTCTTGCTCTTTTTTTTGTCTTGCTCCAGGTTATGCTCCTGTTACAGGTATGTGCCACCCTCTACGCAGCTGCACTCTCAACCATGAGGATGGATTCTCCTCAGCATTCGTGGTTGCCCATGAGACTGGCCATGTGTGAGTCACTGGATATTTTTTCACTGCTGCCTGGTGGGTGTGTCTACACATGCATTAGATCCAGGAGCAGTTTACCCGTGAGTAAAAGCTCCTGGGCAGGCCACACATGCAGGGAACTGGGAGCAGATTTGCTGCTGATGGCAGCAAACTGCTCTCGATTCCTAGGGTCCTGCAGTGGGTCTCTGCTGCCACCAGGGGGAGCTCTATGTTCCCCGTGGGTGCTAACCCGGGGGTAGCAGGGAGCACCAGGCTAGGAGACAGCTGTCTCCTGGCCGGGGCTGGAACATTGCACCCTGCCTCTGGAGGAGGAGGGGCTGCCTGCTACTAGGGCGGAGACAGTGTCCCCCCCACCCTGGCATCAGGGAGCTCCTGGCCCTGGCTTCTCAACTGGAGGTATGAGACTTAGAAAGAGCTGCAGGGGAGGGGCAGATCCCATCCCCTTGCCCTGATCCTCCGGTGGGGCAGCTAGCAGCCAGCTTGCTGCTAGCTGCCCTACTTGTAGATTGAGGCTGAGGGCTGGAACTGGCTCCACACCTGCTGTTCTTTCCAAGCCTCATGCCTTGATCACCTAATCGTGGCACAGGACTGGGACCTGCCCCTGACCGGGACAGTTCCCAGCCTCTACTCCACGATTGCAGGGCAGGAGCTGGAGAGTCTGTTCCCTGCTCAGCTCTGTGATTGCCTGTTCCCCACCCAGCATGTTCAGCTCTGCAAGCTGTTCCCCAGCCAGCTCCACAATCAAGGAGCCAGGCAGGGAATGGGCTGCTCCACCCCCGCCAGCAGGGAGTTCCCAGCATCAGCTCCATAACTTCAGGGCCCGTGCTGGGAGATCCTTATCTCTCAGCCCAAGTTCCACAGTTGTGTGCATTTACATGTGCATATGTTCCCCATGACTTCAGAGCTTGGGCTGGGAAATAAGGATCTCTCAGTGCCAGCCCCACTGTCATGGAGCTGGAGCTGGAAAATAAAAATCTCCCAGCCCCTGCTCCTCAATCATGATCTCAGAGCTCCCTGCTGCCAGGGCAGGGGGACATTGTCCCTGCCTGGGCTTTGGTGGCAGACCCCACCCCGGCAGGAGGCAGCTTCTGGGGGCAGGGAGCAATCTTTCGCCCCCTGGTGGCCAGTTGACTGGGAGCAGATTTGCCCCTGGTCAGGCATCTGTCCGAGCACTACTGCTCAGTACCTAATTGCAAATAAATTTGCTACTTGCATTTGCAGGTAGCAAATTTACTCACGATTAGTGAGGTTTACTGCACAGTAAGCACATGCACATGTAAATGCACACACTTACTGCACAGTAACATACACTACTTCGCAGTAAAGAGTCTCATGTAGATGCAGCCGATGGCTCAGTAGGGTGCTGAGTGCTCCTAGCTTGTCTGTATTGACATGCACAGTGGACTTTCCCTCTGAATGAGAAGTTGTTTTGTGTTGAAATAATGGCCTTCCAAAATAATAATGTGGCATTTGATAGTGGCAAATATAGGAAAGTAGTCACTTTTCAGCATAGTTGGTTTAATGAGCCACTCCAAAGTAGTCTGCTTTGGCCTTTGCTGTTGACTTGTATATAGAGCTTAGAATCTGTTGCTTTGGTTTTAGCCTGCGTGGCTATCAAAAGGCTTTGAATGCTGCGTTTTACTTCTAAGCATGAATACTTGGTGAAGATGCAGAAAAGTGTCCAGAAATTCAAAAGCCATCTATTGTTCCTATATAGAAATAAAACCCCACGTTCAGATGCCTTTAATTCCCACAGTTAGTCTGGTGTGGTTGTTACAGGCATATAGGCAACAGCTGCTTGCTTTTCTTTTGGGGCCAGTAGCCTCTTGGTGGGACATACAGTGTTCCCAGGTTGCTATATAGTACTGTCCTGGGGTAGAACTGGGAAAAAAATGTGCTTATAGCGACTAAAAGGACATACTTCCTGGTTACGGGAACCATGAAGCTGTGAACAGTGACAGAAGCTCCATCATCTGAGTAACTTCAATTAGATTGGAAAAAAACACTCTGTCAGAGAGTGTAACAAGTAACCTTAATGAGAATAGATCTCATCCACCTTCTGTTCTTTTAGTCTCACCAGCAGGGATAACAGGAGTTATTTACATGTACTGTGTCCAGGAGGAATCATGCACAACACCCGTTAAGCTTATTACAAATACATAATTGTCTATTCCTTAAAAATGTGAACCATAAAAATAGAAATTATCCTATCCTGGAAGAGGGAAAGTGGTGGACTTGTATGGAAGGGACACTTCTTGTCCATCCTAGGAGAATTTCAGAAGTTTGTGAAACAGTCCATAGAAAAAAGGAGATTGAGATGTCATCAGCTGGTTTTGCAACTCTGGATTGTAAGGTCTTAAAATTCAGTGGCCAGTCACACACATACTGGCTGGGAGGTGTCCTGCTTTGGGAGAAGACAGAATTCTTTCCTAGTGGCTGTTCTTTATCCCATGGGCTGAAAAGTTGAGTCCAGAGGAGAACGCTGGCTTTATTAAAAGGTAGAACAACTCCTCAATTGCTTTTTTCATCAAAAGTAAAGTATTAAATATCCTGGACTGGATTGTTTTAGTGCATCTGGGATAGATTCTGGACACAGTACCTGGAGAGGCTCTTTATTTCCTTTTATCCTTCTCAAATTATTTTTGTGTCCATTGAAACATGTGTCTACCAAAGAAACTGCAGCATAATCAGCAGGTCTCTAGCATGATAACTACATCAGTGGTGGGTAGTACAGATACTAATTTAGCTTCATGATGTTAACTGCGAAAAAAGTCACAAATAGGAAGCAAAATTTGGACATTTATGACTATTAAATATAACAAACTGGTATGAAGCCAAAGGCTTTACTTAAGATCCCACAGCTGTTCCTTGAGCAGTCAAATCTGCTTTCAGTTTACAGCAAACCGGTGTCAGATGTTTAATTGGGCCAAAGCAATGGAGTCTTTAACTTAGTGTACCATCTGTGAATCAGTGGCATTGAATCAAGCATATACATTGTATATTATGACTAAGTACAGTAAAGACATTAAACTGCTGGAAAGATAGTCTCCCAAAATCCTTATAGATCCTTATAGATCTAGAGCTGGGAAACATGGACAGGATGGGCAAAAAAGACTTACCTGAGGAAAAAATGATGACAAGATGAAATCATGTGAAATTATTAAGACTTTTGGTTAAAGTTCCTCTAAATGAAGTTTATAAATGTGATCAGTATTTCTGCATCATTGTTTTTGCCTGTGCTCAGGTTTACAGTGAATGTGTACTTGGTGAGCACTATTAGTTACAATGAATGCTGAGAAGTCTTCTTAGAATCAAATGGATCATTACTTATTGGGACCTTTCTCATCTGCCCTCCTTCAATTACTAGCAGATCTCTGTCCAGGGTCTCACCTAAGAAGAGATTAGATGCTGGTATTGAAAATTTCTGCCAGAACAAAAACTTACACTGTGCCATTCTGATCAGCTAGGGTTCTCCCAAGTAGCTACTTCCAAGTTCTAACGTCCATAGCTGGACAGTTCAGTTTTGGGCATCATATTATTTCTGTTTCTCATGCACTGTCCTGCACTGTTAGTGAGACTGGAATTGTGTGAGTGCTGGAAAAGTATTGATTGAATATTGGTCCAAACAATTTGAGATGTGCCAGGAATATGTCTTTTTCCTTGTCCAATCAAATTAAGGCTTATTTGGGAAATATCAACATTTAAAATTCGACTGATGGCTGTTGCTTGATGGCACACCCTAAGGAACACAACTCACAGACTTTTTTAACAGGTTAGGTATGGAACATGATGGCCAGGGGAACCGATGCGCAGATGAGACCAGCATGGGGAGCATTATGGCACCATTAGTGCAGGCTGCATTCCACCGCTACCACTGGTCCCGATGTAGCAAGCAGGAATTGAACCGATACATACAGTAGGTCACTTTTAAACATTGTGATTTAAAATTAGCTAGTGTATGATTTTGGTATACAAATGAATATTACAGGCATTTATATGAACTCATGTGTGCATGGAAAGATGAGAGTGGAAGCAAGGGTTCTGATTGCAAAGACACATTATAGCAAGGAAGGCAGAAACGAGAAGAATCTTGTGTAGCAGGTGCCCCAAGTGTTTCCTTAGAGCTGTGATGCTTGACCTTTTCCCTGGCAGGCCAAATAGGCAGTGCCCAGTCTCTCCATGGGAGGATCCTGCCAGTAGTCCTGATCTGATGCCCAGGGTGGGTACAGCCCCATCCAGCTGCCTGAAGAAGGGCAGGGGGCAGGCAGGCCCCAATTCAGCTGCATGGGGAGAGGGGGCTTGGTCCAGCCCTAGCATGGTCCCATGTGGAAGGGACACGGTGGAGAAGGAGGCATCGCCTGGCCCCAACCCAGACCTGCAGCGGGGGAGGAGGCATGGCCCAGCTCTAACCCAGCCCTGCAGGGAGAAGGGGGCATGGCCCAGCTTTGAGTTGGGGACCGGAGAATAGCCCAGCCCCATTTGGCTGCGTGGAAGGAAGGGACATGGGAATTTAATAACAGGGGAGGGTGGTTGTGTTAATGGCCACTGCTCCTGCACTGCTAAACTTTCTAACGTGGGGAGCCCCACAGGCCAGATGCTGTCGGCCAGAGATTGAGCACCCTTGCCTTGAAACCTTAGCTCTGAGCTTGGAAATGTGACCTTGAAGCTAGTAATTGCTTTAGCTTCTATGTTAAAGCTCCGTTGCTACCACATATGCCTTCTGTTTGTCTGATAAGTCTGTATAAATTTTACTATTTAAAAAGTAATAATGGAAGGAAATCCCCTGGGAACCTGCCCCTAAAATCATGTCCTTAGTCGCCATTTGAAAATGCTTACTGGTGCACTTAGTCACCTTGGATAGATAGAGCTGATCAGAAAAAGATAAGGACGCAAGTGGCTTCTTTCACTTGACATCTTCTGACAAGTCAGGCTTGTACTCAGAGGGACACCTCAAATGTTGCGGATGTCATTGGAACAGGAGATCACAAAAAGTCTCAGTGGATGGTTTGCTGAGAACAACTCACCCATGCAAATTCAAGTGAATTATTACTAATTCTAGGGCACAGCTTATATTAAGTTCTTGTGGTTCACAAGTTTTTTGTCTGCATTGCTTTGCCAAACCTTAAGGCTGGCTAATGTCCTGCATCATATACTGAATTGAAACACATCAGGAAATTTTGCACTTGTTTAAAGTAAAGTTTAAAAATAATTACGGGGGGCATCTATGTATAACCAGTTGACCCCAGCCTGGATTTGCTTGTACATCAGCCTTTTTATCTTAGGCGAAAAAAGTATCAGTCAATTCTGGAGTGCAATCGTTTGGCACGGTTTGTAACAAATGTATTTACTAGCAATTTAGAGTTCTTTGACAACGGCAAATAGGTAGCTGGTGGATAACCTGCTGTTTTTAACTCCAAGGGAGGAATAGTTAAGGGAGGATGAGGTCTGATATCAGAAGTGTTGGAACAGAGGCCCACTTGTAGTGCTCCCAGGCTCTGACATGATGTTGGTGGAGACTAGCTGTGACCTTCTTAAAGCTGATGTACAAATGCACATGATAGTGGTGGCTAGTGTTAGAGTGAGGACCAAGGGAGTGAAGATTCTTTAGCAGGGGAGGGACAGGGACATAGAAAAATGGAAGGGACAAAGAAAGGTGCAATTAAAGCAAGGAAAATTTGTCACATTCAATCTAACTTTGTCTTTGCCTGGCATCACTGCAGTTCCTACGACTGCCTCCTAGATGATCCCTTTGAGCACCAGTGGCCCAAGCTACCAGAGCTCCCAGGAATCAATTACTCCATGGATGAACAATGCCGCTTTGACTTCGGTGTGGGTTACAAAACATGCACAGCTGTGAGTATTGCGTCTGTTAGCAGGGTATGAAAAGGAACTCACTTTGTGGAGGAGGGAACTAAAAGAATCAGTGGAGATCTTAGTGGTCCTCTGGAGGTTACTGAGCTATAGATATTAGAAGCTTGCCATGTGTAGGTATTTCAGGCTTTGGAAGTATCTCTGGTCTATAGGTCTGGCATTGTTTATTAGGTCTATTTGGTTTCTAGGGAGGATGAGCATGCAGGGTGGAAACTGGCTGCACTCTTTTCCCTTTACCACATTTGATTAGAAGTGATAGTGTCCATAAAGCAAATAGTACCTTCTGCCTGTCCTGATGGTAGTGTTTTAACAGATTTATGTATTGGGTTTGAGAAGGGAGACTGCAAATCTGAGGGGCTAGCTCTGTTTATACCCAAATCAACTGAGAGAGAGGAGAGGCTTAAGTGGGATAAAAACAGGCATTTTGCAGTGAACTTCTTGGAATTACTCCATGTCTACCTTGTGTCTAAGTCTCTGCAGTGGGACAGGCTCAGAGTTTTCAACTTCTTTGCTCTTGGTCATAGTTTCAGGGTTGGGGGCAGTTGAGGTTGGTATATGTCTACCCATTAAAGTAACAGAAGGGTTCTTGTTTACTTCACAGTTCAGAACCTTTGACCCTTGCAAGCAGCTGTGGTGCAGCCATCCAGACAACCCTTACTTCTGCAAAACCAAGAAAGGGCCCCCCCTGGATGGGACCGAATGTTCCTCAGGCAAGGTACCTGCAGTACTGGGCATAGTAGAGTCTGGATTTACTATTACTAGAAAACAGATGTACTTCTGCTCAGCTTGGGTCAGAGATGTATATGAGCACACATAATCAGCTGTGTAAATACACTGATCCCTGCACAGTTTCCTTGCAGAGTGGAGGCACGGGTGGACGGGGTGGGGAGGGAAGAGATATATAGGCTTTTGCATTAGTCTGCATTTTGAAAATCATGCATCTCTTCTGTTTTATTTGAAAAGGTGAGAAAGATCTATTTTCTTAGAAACAAAAGTGAACTTTTGAGATGCACCCATGCTAAAGAACATATTGTAATAATTCATGCAGAATCTTTACCGTGTATGTGGCATTTGGTCTTTTCTTCACTTAAAAAGTATTTTTATTTCTTGTTTTCCTCCCTAATGATTCAATATCCCAGTGTTCAAATAAGGGCTTTTGTTCCTCACAGACCATCTTTCTTCCTGTTTGATTTTAAAATGAAGCTGTGCAGCTGGCAAATGTTATGACATGACAGTCAGTGCCATAGCAACAGACTGTGAGGTCATCAGTTTAGAAGTATGACTTCATCACAGGATCGGACTATTTTAGCGTTTGCTATTACTCCCATTACCACAGCATGCAATTGCTTATGAGTCAGAAGAGCAGCTGGATTGCCTGGGACTTTTTGCTTACTCACACATGGGCCAGGTACAGACATTACACTTTTACTGATATAAGTGATGGGAAACCAGTCTATACCCATAACAGAACAGAAGTTCAGCACACAAAACTAGTCTATACCCATAACAGAAAGGAAGCTCAGCACACACAGACTGGTTTAAAACTAGTAGAACCCTATCTAAGATTTGCACACCCACCAAAAGGGCAGATTTGTATTCTGTTCAGTACCGATATAAACTACACTGCTTACACAAAACCGCACTTAGATTGATTCTGCCTCAGGCTTTTTGAAGGTCTGTACCTAGCCATGGAAGTCCCAGAGGCACTAACAACAGGAAGTTTGGCATTTTGGGGAGTCTGCTGAAAGAGTGAATCTACTGTAAGGGCAGTGAAGGTACATATGGATAGAAGACTGTTAGATGTCAGAGGATGAAGCAATCTCTTACATCTGAGCAATGCTGAGAATGAAATCTTTTCAAAGAATCTGCTTAAAATAATCAACAATTTTAATAACAGCTTCAAAATGAATCACATTGATCTCTCTGTAAATGCTGCCATATTGAATGGCTAGCACTTGAATGAACACTGCCAAGAACTTAGAACTATATTATTAATGTCTGTCTATGCATTACATACAGTGCTGGTGAAAGGTGCCAGTCTGAAAGACCTGGAGGCTGAAATCCTTGTTTCTACACAACACACCTGGCACAGCAACAGCAGTAACATCATTCTACTAGAGTTTCTCAGCCTTGCTCAGGTGTGATCACTTCTAACAGTGAAAGGTGGTTTAGTCTCCAGGCCCATTTAATTTTGTATCTCTCTGGGAATCCTTTTCTCCAGGGATTTTCTGGTAAGGCTACAGACTTATTTCTTAAAGGCCACTGAAAAGACAGCCTTATGTTTCTACCCCAGATGGGTTTTCACTGAAGCTGAAAGGTCTCCACTATATCTATGTTTTTATTGTTATTACAGGAGCACCCATAAACCGTAGTTCAGATCAAGGCTCTGTTGTGCTATGCACTGTTCAGACACATAGGCTGTGTCCACAAGTGGTGTGGATGTTTGGTTCCCCGGGGACAATGTGCACTGCAGCTAATTGTCCCCGGGGAATGCCCATGCCACTTGCACTCTGGCACATGGCAAGTTACCCCAGGGGCGGTAGGGGAGCCTGGGGCTAGCACTGGGCTGGCCCCAGCAGCCTTATCTGGGGGCCTCCAGGGGCTGCAGCAGTGACAATTCTGCCATGTGGAGCCTGGCTGGCAGCCTCAGCATGGCTCCAGGTGGCCCAGCTCTGCTTTTGAGCGGCACACGCTCACTGCCTGTGCATGCACTGCTTCACCATTTTTCTCCACCATGTGCGGTATGTGGCATCACAGAAGTATCTGCGGTGCCATGTACTGCATGGCTGCACTCGTCTGGACATGGCCATAGTAAGAGCTGGTCCTTGCCCCTAGGAGTTTATACTCTACATATAACAGAAAAACAAAAGATGATAGATGAAATAGAGGTGAAGCAACTTACCCAAGAGCTTACAATGGAACCCAGGTCCCCTGGATTCTTGGCTAGTATCTCAGCCAGTGCTCCTCTTCATGCACTTAACCAGCCAAGGCTGCTAAAGTATTTACTAATTTAATATTTTATTAATCTTTCTTTTAACTCAAAACTCCTTTCCTGGCCATTTTCACCTTGGCAGTTTTGTTTTAGACACAGTTTTCTATGAAGTACCTGTCAATATGGCTCCTTCATGGTCAGAAACAAACCATTTATGTTAGAGGCTATCAAATGCTTGAAGGAAAGTAATTTCTCATTCAAAATATGGCTTTCTTCTTAAAGGGTGAAATCCTGAAATACATGCTCCATTGTTTTGCTATAGTGAGATTTCCCTTACTGGTAATCATAGAATCAGTCAAAGAATCATAGAAAGTACAATTGGAAGGGACTTCCAAAGATCATGTAGTCCAACCCCTTGCCTGTGGCAGGATCATCCTTGCTATCAAGCCATCCTGTACAACCCATAATGTAAACTCTACATAAAGGTACCATCAACCTTGATATAACATAGCCATAACAGCCTAACCTTTCACAAATAAAGCAGGGAAACCATGGCAGCCAATGTTCTGCTTCTATAAAAGGTTGTCAGTATATGCTTAAGAGATCTCAGGTAGAGGGACATGCCCCCCACTATAGAGGAAAGCAACTCTCCTCACCCCCAAATCCATACCAGTCTGACCATTGGATAAAATTCCTTCCTGACCCCAAATATGGTGATCAATCTGACCTTGATTAGGAGCCTCTGGTTTTGATCCCACCAGAAGCATTGGCACTCCCCAGCCTTGGCTGTCACCGACACCCAATGCCTCTGAGGAAGGTTTAAAAACATCCTGACACATATAGCAGAAAGAGGGGAAGGGAGCAACCAGCAAAGCCTGGAAACATGGGAAATACCCATAGTAGAACACAGGCATAGCTACACCTATATCATCACTGACCAGTGGCTGTCCAACCTCTTCTTGAACACTTCCAGTGGTGGGGAGTCCAGAACTTCCCGAGGCAGTCTGTTCCACTGCCTCACTGTTGTAACAGTGAAGAGGCTTTTTTGGATATCCATTCTAAACCTACTTCACTGCAGCTTCAAGCTGTTGGTCTGTATCCTCCTCACTGCAGCAAGACAGAAAAGGTGCTTTCCCTCTTTTTTTTATGGCAGCCCTTCAAGTATTTGAAGACTGCTATTATGTCCCCTCTGAAGCACCTTTTCTGTAAGCTGAACATGCCCAGTTCCTTCAGCCTCTCCTCATATGATATGCCTTCCAAGCCCCTGATCATCTTGGTTGCCTGCCCCAACCCTCTCTAACTTCTCCAGGTCCTTTTTAAAATGTGGAGTATAGAACTGCACACAATACTCCATGAGGCCTAACCAGTGATGAGTAGAGAGGCACTATTAGCTCCCATGTCTTTCATTTAATGCTTCTATTAGGTGATCCCATCCTTATATTAGGTGATTCTATTGATGCATCCTAAAACTGCACTCACTTTTTGTGTAACTGCATCACACTGCAGGCTCATAGTGAGTCTGTGATCTACCAAAACTCCCAAGTCCTTTTCCATAGTGCTGCCATCCAGCCAGGTGTCACACATTTTGTATTTGTGTTTTTAATTATTCTTCCCGAGATGAGCATTTTGCTTGCAGAAGGGCTGAGGAAGGTCTTTAAGTTCATGCTTGACTATTCTTGCTTTATTACTCCATGGAACTTAAAATCGAGAATATGTAAAAAGCTGAGAAACTTGAATGAGTACCAACATATTTATTCAGTTCAGGTGCAGACTGCCTACCGCAGTGCTAATATACATTACTAATATGATTCAGGCTGGAGGGTCTGGACTGGGTGGATTAAGAGTTGATGGAAAGCCATTCTCTGAACCCCAAAACAGCTTCAGTAAAAGGATTTTAAAGGGCCTGTTTTCCACAAGGATGCTTTAATGCCATGTGTTTGTCAATTAGCATCTTCTAGCAAGATTGGTATATTCCTGGGTAACAATCTACACTTGCTCTTTCTGTCTCTGCAGTAGTGCAGCAAAAGTATGTGAATGTATCTGAGAAACTGAAATACAGAATGGTCACTGGTCATTCATGTCCGTAGGATTTAAATGCACTCACACACACATGCATACACGCACTGAATCAGATGCCAAGTCCTCAGCTGGTGTAAATTAGCATGTTAATATATGACCTCATTTGAACTATGACATTTTTGCTCAGCTGAGAGCCAGCCCTGCCTGTTTAGAAACTGGAAGGAAGTTTTATCATTTTCCAACAGGAAATTGAGGACAGGCAAATTCTGAGGGTAAACTACTTGATAGTGTTCCTTCTGAGGCATTTTTGTACTGTTAGTCCTGGCCACAGAGCAACTCAGTCCTCTTGTTCAAGGGTTGGCAACCTATTCAGATTCAGTCCACAGAGCTGTTTTATCCAGCTTATGAAGCCATGGCTTCAGCTGTATTTTGACAATGGGGAGGCTTTGATGGTGTTTCTGCAGTGGGGGCCTTTGCCTGCATAGTGGCTTGGTGGCAGAAACGTGGTGGTGGCTGGGTAGTGGGGAGAAGCAGTTGTGGTGGTAGTGGCAGCATCAAGAAGCCAGGTCAGAAGGGCCAGCCTGCCTCCATCTGAACTGGATAATTTTGGTCTGCCACTCCTGAAGTATTTCCAACTCCTGCTCTTGGCACAGTTGTAGGATTTGGTCATTTTCCTGCCTGTTTAAACATGAAGCTGGGATGGTTTAAAAATATGAGACAATAGCCAGTCACATGACAGCAGAGGAGTATATCCTGCAATCATTAATAAGAAGATGCAGTGAATCAAGCCCCAAACGAGATTCAACCAAACCTGTGACTGAGGTCCTGGGAAAAGAAGATGTCTCTTTGTGCCATTGCATTGCTGGAAGTTGGGTGTGGACATTGCACAACCAGTGCAAAAGGATCATCCTAGTACTGGCACATCTTTCAGTTATCCCTACCTTGCTGCCAGCATACAGGAGATAGATGGGGGGAGGGAGGCATGATCAGGACACCTCTACATTTATCCAGCACTGCTGTGGATGCCCTCCACTCTTAAGCAACCAATATAATGTAGGGCAGCCCCAACACCCGCTTATGAGCTTAGATGTGTGTTGCTTGACTGTGGTTGAGGTCAGGACCTCAGTTAATGTTCATGAAGATTAATCTCTTTTTTGGGAGAGATACAGTTATGAGGTTTTCTGAGTTCTGTGTTTGTGAGAGTGAAAAGTTCATTGCATTAGTGAGGAATGAGCAGAACAGAAGCAAAAGCTATGTGAGCCCCCCCACATGAAAGGTCTCCAAGTGCACCTCAATCCTGGCCTTTATAGTCCTTTCCTGTATGGGACACACCCTGGGACACACCCACACAGTGAATCCTGTTATTCCATTTCTAGCTCTCTTCTGAAGAGAGACTAGTTTTTACCTAATGGTCTTATGAACAAATGGAGATGAGGAAGAAGCTAGCAGAGCAACCTGACTTTCACATGTGACCTATGTCAGGATTTGGATTTGGCTTTCCAGAACTGATGGGGCCATTATTTTATTAACTCCATGCCACCCAAATCCCTTGAGTCCTTTGTTTATTTACATTAAGGTTTTGTCACCTCACAGTTATCACTGTCCGTCGCATTCATCTCACCAGTGACAGTGGGAAAAACGATTTTCAGACCATGGTGCTCCCATGATGTTAGAGCTGTTCTCAGATAAAGCTGGATGATTACAAAGTGGCAGATGGTCAGGTAATGCTTGTTTTTCCTTCTGTTCCAGTGGTGTTTCAAGGGTCACTGCATCTGGAAGACTTCAGAACAGCCTTACAGCCAGGATGGCAGCTGGAGTTCCTGGTCCAAGTTTGGTTCCTGCTCTAGGACGTGTGGGGGTGGGGTCCGCTCCCGCAGCAGGAGCTGCAACAACCCACCGTAAGTTTGGCCTTCTGGTGATTCTTTTGGTCACTGTAAAATTGTAACTGGCAGAGAACAGGAAGCTCCTTCTCCTTCCTTCAGGAGGACAGTCACAAGGAAAGAAAGAGTTCCTCTGTGAAGTTGAGTAAGCCAGAAAGAGAGAGTACCATGTATAGACACCACAGTACATGTCACAACATTAAAAGATATTTCATTTTCCAGGGACTTGCACCTTTGAGGCACCTATACATGTGCCAGACATCTGCTCTGATGCATGCTAATTAGCACGCATTGGAGCAGACTTGATTAATTGAGTTTGTTGGAGTGTGCTAATTAGCATGCTCCGGCAGCCTCTGGTTCATGTATATTCAGTATTCCCACACTTCAAAATGGTGGTGCCGCCATTCTGAAGAGTGGGGATGCTGAATACATGAATACTAATTAAAGCAACCCCATCCCCCTGTCACCCCATAGCATGTGTAGATGCCCTAGATGGTCTGCTTGTTTATCTTAGATTGGCTGAGTTCAGTGGTAAATGTTAGCATGAGATTTAAAAATGAGTCTAAGGGAGTTGGACTTCCAACTCCCATTGGATTAGAGCTCGGAATTTTCAGTTTTTGTTAAATAATCCATCTATAGTCTCTTAGTTTTAATGCCGAGCTACCTGCTCTTCTCCTGCACATGTAATCCAACTGGGTTGGACCCCTTCCTCCTTCCAGTAGAGCACTTGCTTTAAAGAAGCACTGTCAAGGCGTACTGGCTTCAAGGAGATTAAACATAACCTCTTGTCTTGGTGATTTGATAATAGCAGCTGGCAGTCATGGGAACACATGTGCAGTTTTTCCCACTTCTTTGCTCAGCAGGCAGAGGACAGGAATGAGAGGTGTTCACAGAGACCCTCAAACTAGCATAAAGTAGTTATTGGTCAACCACTTTCAGTGCTGATTTTATTTCTTTAAATGACTCACAAAAAATAAGCGCACATGCGTGTGTGTCCTTGGATGTGTTGGTAGTCTGTTCTGGATTAAGGGAGAGTCCAGATGTTAAAAGTGACTGGTGATATATGGATGCCTGTAGGCATTGCTGTATGAATTAATGAGTTCTTAAACTGTTGTAGATCTCTGCTTCTATTGGGTTGTATCAGGCTTGAATGCCCGTTTCTGAAATACTCAAAATGATTCTTTTCCCACTGGATTTATTTTGTAGACCAGCTTATGGTGGGCGAAATTGCCCCGGATCCACTTATGAGTACCAGATCTGCAATACTGAAGAGTGCCGTGGACCATATGAGGATTTCCGTGCCCAACAGTGCTCCAAGCGCAACTCTTACTATACCCATCAGAACTCCAAGCACACCTGGCTTCCCTACGAGCATCATGATGGTGAGCGGAGATGGCCCAATTTGCCAGACAGTGTTAGTGCCAAGCAGTTAATGAACTGACTCATGTTTGTTTTGTGGGCTTTGAAGGTAGCTAAGTCCAAGCTACCTTTGGATGAGGCTGGTAGTTTGTGCCACATGTGATGGTGTTTTTGGTAATATAGACTGCAGAACCTGGATACTGTCATTTGGTTTCCACTGTGAGAGCTGATCACAAGCATCTAAAATACGTCAGCAAAATGCTCTTTGCATAGCATGTGATGTATAGCAGGGAAATAAAGACCACTGAATATAGAGCCAGGTGAGTCAGTGGAAAAAGGGTTTTCAAATAGAGAGACCATATGCCATTGGCATAAATTAGCAACCCATAAGTTACTTCGGCTCATACCAGGATTGCAACTGGCACAGACAAGCCAACAGCATAAGGAAACTATAACTAGCACTCTGACACCTCCTTCATTTTTTTCTACCAGTCAAGTCTTGAAAGAAAGAAGAGAATCTGCTTTTCTTATTAAATGTAAATATATCCACCCACACTTTTTAAAATAATTTTTATCACTCCAGCAGGCCCAACTCTCATTGAATAAAGGCAACAAGTGACCCTATAATTCCAGCTGTTTTGATGGATTTTCAGTTGTAAGAATACACAAACCAGTTGGAATAAAACTGTTATCCTCATATTGAGGGATTGCTGACAACAGAATCAAAGTGACTTTGCATGTGTGTCCATGGCAGAATGTGGTCTTTCATTCACCCTCCTAATTGTTTCACATTCAAGAAAGTCTGACTTTGCCCAGACACATCCTTCATGATTGTTCATTTGCTGGCACCTCCAGAGTCACACTTCCATAAGTGTGCTGCTAGAGAATACATAGCATCAAATAGTAAATATAGGAAGTCATTAGACACAATAAAAAGACAGGCAGGTCTTGAAAACATCCCAAGTGTGTTCAAGGTTGGAAGTTCACCCTCTTGAAGTAGGTTTTTTTAATTGATTCTAAAGAATTGCTACAAGCATGAGCTCCTCAATATCTTTTGTTGTTGTTGCAGATGCTCAGAAGTGTGAGCTGATTTGTCAGTCTGAGGGAACAGGAGATGTGGTATTCATGAACCAAGTTGTTCACGATGGTACCAGATGCAGCTACAGAGACCCCTACAGTGTGTGTGTCCGGGGGGAGTGTGTGGTATGTTGCTAAATACTACGTCTACTGATTTTCAATTTTACTTGTCTTCTATCCAAATAAGAGTGCTTGGGCAAGGCAAAGACAAGGAGTACGCACATTTCTTGAAGTCAGTGGAAACTTACAAAAACATTTAAACTTACCATAGACTTTTCATTGGAGCTCTATAAGCTGGAGCACTATCTGAAACAAAATAAAGGAAAAGGTCAGATATGCTGTTACTTAAACAGGCTCCCTTAGCACTCATCCTGGTAGAGAAGCTGTGTGCGCGTGCGTGTGTGTGTCTTGTGCTATTTTTATCCAGAAGAGAATGAGTATGTTGGTGTGTGGGCTGAGGCTTCTATCAGAGGTGGGAATCAAAGTTGAACAATACATCCCTGAAGACTTCTACTGAGGGAAGAAAGGAGAAGGAGGAGGAGTACCAGGTTGGGGGGTCAAATGATGTGGAGGCCTAGGTTTCCAGAGTGCAGCCTTCATGAGAATGACTCAACAGCTGGTAGAAATCTATGTGGTTTGTCCTGGAAAGTCGCTATCTACTTTCACCCACCCACCCACCCACTTTATCTCACCCTCATCTATGTTGTAGCTGTACAACATTGCTAAAGCCCAAAAATAGCTTTAAGGTGTGATGTCTGCCATGTATTCTGAATCTCTCTGTACATGTGACCCTATTTTTTTTTTTATTTCTTTCCCTCTCTGGTGACAGCACGTTGGGTGTGACAAAGAAATTGGCTCTCTGAAGCAGGATGACAAGTGTGGTGTTTGTGGGGGTGACAATTCCCACTGTCGGACAGTGAAAGGGACTTTGGTTAAAACCCCCAAGGAGCCAGGTAAGAATACATCCCCAGAGTACAGGAAGTGGGCTGTTTAAATATGTATTAGCATGTAAGAAATGTAGCATGTCTGGGGGCAAGCATTTGTCCTTCACTGGGCCTGCATAAATCTAGCATTCCTATTTTGAAATCCAGATTTACACTGGTGTAGGTGAAAGCACAGTTTGGCCCTACACATACAAGTACAAATGGATCTTATCATTTTGCATTATTTATTTAGCATTTAGCATAATCCAGTATCCATAGTCATGGACCAAACCTGCCTATGGTAGGCACTAGACAACCAGAGCAGACAGACAGAAAGGGGAAATGGCTGCTGAACTACAGCTTGCTACCCAGAAATGCTACCTACTGCAGTCTCAGAGTGCTGTCTAATGCTGCTCCTGTTACTTATTAGAGCATTTAATATTGGTCTCATAATTTATGTTTAAAAAAGAAAGAAATCTAGCCCTTTGTCTTATTCTGCAGACATTTGGCAAGCTATATTAAAGCCCTGTAATTTGACATCTAAGTGCTTGTATTTAAATGGTCAGTGTCCATTGGTCCCATCCTTAACTGGTGTCAGTTGACATGCCTTTAGTGATTTTACTGGATCCCCACCTGTTAAAGCCAGTTGGTTATGGCCCATTGCATGTGCCCCAGTGACAAGTCTCAGCAGTACCCAGTAACCATTTTGCTACTCAGCTAAAGATGTTGTTTATAATACCTGCTTCTTTCTGCCTGTCTGTTATCTGTCTGTTTATGATGATTCAAGCAGTTGCCATCACCAGGCTAGACCAGTGTAGCACACTGGATTTGGAGTTTCCTGGGATGGCCACTTGGAAGTTGCAGCACTTACATCACACAGTAGATTACCTGCTGTACAGTACAGATGGCAAGGTGAAATGCATGCCTGTGGTGCAGTCAGGAGGAGTCCTGGCAGTAGCTGCAATCTGTAGGTGCATCTGAGCTAGTTTTAATTTAGCCAGTGTAGATAACAGCAGCACTGAAGCAGCAGCCTTTGCAGGTCAGACTAGACCAGCAGCCAGAGTACATGGCCAGGGATCCTTGCCAGCTGATGCAGCTTATACTGACCTGTGTGCTGCTGCATCTTCATTGCTGTTGTTACCCAAGCTAGCTAGGATGAAACTAGTTCAGGGATGCTACTTTATGCTTCAGTCACACTTCCTGATTGCTGCATGGATATAACCTTACAGCACTGCTCCATGAACTTCAGTGGATCTTGGAACAAACCTTGTTGCTGATTCAGTTTTGGCTTGAATTCCTGGTTATGGTCTTCATCTGCTAAGCCTTTAATTTGCTATTCTTTCCCATCTTTTGCTTCCTTCTCTAAGCTCAGGTGTAGCTGTCAGTAGCTTAACTAAGGGTAAGTGAAAGGGCACCAGCCCTGGGCGCTGACTTAGAAGGGGTGCCAAAATTGTCCCTCCCCCAACAGAGTCTGTGCCTCGGCAGGTAAGACCAGCTCCACAGCATTTTTCTTGCAGCAGCAGCAGCTGGTGCATAGACACATCAATGCTGCTGCTCCTCTAAGAGCAAGAGCTGGGGTAGGCAGAGCATGTGGTGGCTACAGTAGCAGCAACAGCAGACACCAGGGAATGGGTAAGACTCCTGTACACGTCCCTGTCCTCGGAACCATTCCCCCAACAAGCCCACTCTCCTGCAGGGTTTGCCCAGGGCACAAAACCTACTTGTTTGGCTACTAGCAGCAGCTGTATTTATCTGACAGTGAGAGACAGCTAGTTCTGCAGTTATTTTTGTAAACCAATCTGAACCCCATACTTGCCAGTTTCAGGGGTTTTATTGACAAAGAGTGGTGACATCTCTGTAGAGGAGCTCTGACCTTTCAAATAAAACACTGTGAAGGAAGTGAAAAAAAGGGTTTTGCTTAGAGTGTGCCATACATAAGAGCATTCCGAATGCTGTCTATGTGGAAATAATTTGCCTTTCTCTGTCTAATCTCTTGCAGGGTTCAGGGTTAGGAGTAAGGTGCAAAGGGAATCAGGTTCTAGAAGCAAATGATGCAGCCTGACACAGAGAAGTCATAGAGGGTGTTGACAGAAGTGATGTTTTGTTGCTTGATTGGTCCCCTGAAGCACTTTACAGTCATGCCCTGAAAGAAGTGCACATCTGCAGAGTGCTTTAAAAGTACTCGATTGTGCGACAGTCTGAATCCTCATTACATGTCGCATGATTGAGTGCTTTTAAAGCATTCTGCAGCCCTGAGCTTCTGTCAAGGCATGGCTGTAGAGTACTTCATTACATGAGGGTACAGATGAAGGTGCTCCAAAGGAGTGGAGCTAGGGGAGAGAGTCTGCAGACATGCAGCTGCTCCAAACTGGAGCTCAGTCCCCAAAACTCCCCGGATCCAACAGTGAATGTCACTGTAACTCATGTGGTGCCAGAGTGGAGCTGTGCATCTATCAGCATTCAGAAAGTAGAGAACCTAACCAGGGGATGAGAAGGATTATGCAAGTGTGGCGGACTTACAGGTACAGCCTGGCAGCCCGGGCTCAGAGATTCTTCATTTTGATTGGTGGAGCCCATCCACCAATCAGGTAACACTGGGAAGGGGCTTGCCCCACCCTTGCCGGGGGGTGGTGGTGGGAGAGAGAGGAGAACCCTGGGCCTGGTTGTAGCCTGCTCTTTGCAGGTCCGACAACACTTTGGGGTGGAGCCTCCGGAGTGAATAAAAGGCGCTGTGTGTCCAGCACATGAGCGACGCATCAAGGGATGGAGAAGAGGATGGGCTAAGAATAGCTGGTGTGAGCTGGCTAGCAGGCAGCACTCTGAAGAGCCCGAAGACGCCTATTCATAAGCAGAAATGGCAAGTGGCTGCATCCCCAGCTCCACTGCAGGGAACACGGCGTCGGTGCATGGCTCTGTGCCTGGAGCCCATATCCTGGGAGCTGCATGAGGCAGCTCGGGTCTGCAAAGCCCTGGTGAGCGGCTGGGACCTCGTACATGCTGCAGTGCACAGAGCCCAAACCCTGGGAGCTGCATGAGGCAGCTTGGGTCTGCAACCCCCGGCAAGTGACTGGGATCTTGTGCATGCAGCGGTGCATGAAGCTCGAGAACCTGGGAGTAGCCTGAGGTGACTCGGGTCTATGATCCCTGACAAGTGGCCAGGGAACTCGTTGCGGGCAACGCTGCACGGAGGGTCTGGGAGACGGATTGAGCCCTGGCACCACACAAAGCGGCCTGGGCCTCCAACCCCCAGCAGAAGGTAGAGCCCTCAGTGCACAGGACGGTGCACAGGGGCACCTGTGAGCGGCAGTCCAAGGGAGCAAGTGGCACTCACCTGCACTCACCTGTATTTACCTGTTTTTCATCTATTCTAAATCCACTGTTCATCAGCACATTGTTTGGGGCTACCTAGAGGGGTGTAATCTTTCAGCCTTTATCTGTAGGACACAGTATTATATGATAATTGTATATCTGTGTGTGTTTATTAATAGCAATTATCTTAATTCTTGTATATATTAATAAATCTGTATATAGTTGAGTACCTCTTGTTCTGGCCTGACTTTACAGGGAGTAGAAGGATCTGGCCTCCATATTGCAGGTCCCTCTTGCAGCACCCTTGCCTGCTGCCTGTCCCTTCTATCTGAAGAGGGGAGCACAGTACTTGGGTGCACCCAGGTTACATAATGCTGTGTGAGACTAGGACTATTGCTTAGAGAATGATAGCAAACTGTCTGTGTCATTGGAAGAGAAGAGGAGTTAGGAGATTGTGGGACAAGTCTTGAAGAAGGTTCAGGGGTAGAAACCAAGAGAAAAGCATAATGGGAGGACTGAAAAGCCTCATGTCCATATAGGCATCAGCTTAGATTCCAAATATTGGATGCTTGTCTGAATGGACTCTGAATATTTTGAATTTGACTCATTGCTAATAAAATCACAGATTATCTGCTATCTCTGCAAACAGTCCCTTAATGCTTCACTGTACTCATGACCTGGAGAATCAAATTAGGGCTGCCTTGCAAATGCAGAGTTATCTAAACTAGCCTGTTATCAACCGTAAAAGCACAAGCCAAAAGTACCAACTAAAACACACGCCTCCCTTTTCTTCTCTCACTGAAGCATCAAAGCATGTTGGGAGCGTTCCACAGGGTTCAAACCTTATTGCTATGGTGTTGGTTTTTAGAGTGCTTCTCTTTCTTTTATTTTTCAGTGGGTGTTTTGAAAATGTTTGAGATTCCAGCTGGGGCCAGGCACGTTCAGATAGAAGAGATGGAGCCAGCATCCCATAACATTGGTGAGCACTGACTGGTCACAGAGTGCAAACAGGCCAAGAGGCAGGGAGTGTTAGTCAGCCTTGCCTCATTTTGTTTAATTAAAGAAACTTTAAGGGTCAAATGATCTAAACTAGGTGAGTGGGTCATGCTTTCCAAGTGGGTGTGGGATTGCTAAGAGCCAATTTTATTGTACTGTACATGCATAATATTTAGAATTATATCCAGAATGGGCTAACTGAGCGCAAAAGGCTTATTTACTGTCCAGTTCCTGCTTGAGTGATAAGTAGGTCTCGTTCAAGGCTTTCTTGCATGTAAGTCAGACAGCCCACAGGCAGTTTTGCCAAGTGCACTATGACTGTTGATCTTGTCTGAAAAGAAGCCCAGGAATGGAGTAGTGGGGGACATTGAAGGATTAATTGTATTAGCAAAACTGTATGGGTGCCCAGGAATGGAGTAGCAAGGTGGAGTTCTTGTCAGAACTGAGGTATGTTGGCTGGGGCCAAAGGGCAAGGAATTGGCATGTGGTTTGCCATCTTGGCATTAGCTGGTGCTTCTGTTCCTGCACTTTCATGAACACTAACAACGAGGTGAAAAATGAGAGCATAACATGAAGTCTTAGGGCCATATCTTTGGGACTAGACTTTCTGAGGCCTTTCTGAGCCTAGCACAGCTCAGGAATGGAAGGAGTGTTATGGGGTGACTTTAACACCCAAGCTACCCCAACCAATCCTACAGCTCCAGGGCACCACTAAGCCTGTTTTGAGACCATCTAAGAACAACCTGATTGTGAGCATACTAACCAGGAGTGCCCCCTAAGGGACAATTATGTCAGATGGAGACTGGCTGGACAAAGCAGCTTCCCCTGTCTTAGGAGGATAGGGGAAGGCATAAGAGCTGATGTGCTGGCCATAGTCAACTTGGGGTTGGTTAAGCCAGATTTACAGATCCTTTTTAGTGTCATTGTAGGGCAGCTGGCTATTTTTCTAGTTATTAGAGACACTTACAAAGGTGATCTGTCTTTGTATCATGTTCTGGATGGGAGGTGTGGTTGGAGGTTGGGGAAATGAGATCATGAGAAAGAGGGCATTAAGAGGAAGTAGCTGTTCCCCTACCTCTTGATTAGCAAATCACCTTTCTTCCTACTGCATCATCCTTCTTTACCAGTGAGTCTGGCAAATAGAGCTTTCCTTTTTTCTCCTGTGCCTTTATGATGATAAGGTATTTAGCAGAATTCACAGTTTCATTGGAAACTGACAGGCTGCTCTATGAGTACTTCTGCTATGGCCTCAAACTTGTCACCTCTGGACTGTCAATCATGTGCCTTAGCACCTATGTCACCTCAGTCCCCAACAAATAGAGCTGAGTCTGTGCAAACCCTTACCAACCATTCATATAATGGTCCTCTATCTGAGGATATATTCCCCAAAGCCTTCCTCTTCATGTGAAATCTCTTTTGGCCACAGGAAAAATGGGGTTGTGTTCTTTCTGCTTAGGAGCCCATTATTTCAAAGAATGAGGGGATTGGTATTTAAGCAAAGTAGTTGGAAAATGCAGACACCAGCCCTAGTTACATGCATCAATCCATTCAATAGGATGTACCCATGCAGTTTCATCAGTCAGTGCCCACAGTCTTATTTTCTGCACTTCAGAGACAAAGGCCCAGAGGAGGTATTTTTCTAAGGAAGCATAAGAGATCACTTCTTTTTTCTCCAAGAACACTGTACTGGTCATCTGCTAAGACACTTTGCTTCTTAGCAGCAGAACACCCTGCTTATTCAGCTTTGCACACTCCACAGCTTTGCCAGTACACATCATCCTTGACCTATCCCACACCCCTTTTTTAAGCATTGATGCACAGATATTGCCAAGGCTGCCAGAGTGGTTTTGTGATGGAGACACTGCTCTTTCAGTTACCACTTAATCAAGTATTTAAATGCAGGTGATTTTCTATAAAAGACCTAACAACAGGTTAACCTGTGGCTGTTAAATTCCCCTAGATTATGCTACCAATTCATTCGACTGTTCCTGAAAGACATTGGCATGATAAAATTACTTTGTGACTCTTTTTTCTAGCTGTTAAGAACCAAGGCACTGGTAACTTCATCCTAAATGCCAAGGGAAAAGAAGCCAAAAGCAAAACCTTCCTTGAGATGGGCTTGGAATGGGAATACACCATAGAGAATGGCAAAGAGACCTTGAAAACTAGTGGGCCCCTACATGAAGCCATCAGTGTTCTGGTGAGTCCAGCTGGTTTGTCTTTAGGGAAATAATGGCTGACCATCATGCAATGTCACAGAATACACAATGCTAAAATGTTAGAAAAGTCTCATATAAAAGTTAGAAAGAATAGGAACATTTTATAATGAATAGGTATATTTTTTAAAAAGTGAAATTTAAATAAGAATAATAATAATGGACTAGTCTGGAATGTGTCAGGGTAGACCAAAGGTATGCTCCTCAGGTACCTCAAGGTTTTGAGCTTGTGTCTGATAGTGTATCAAAGGACACAACAGCCTACTGGTATACACCTCATTTTGGCTTATGTAAGCCTTACAAGGAATTAAACATGTAAGTTCTCTGTGCATTCATGGATGAATGGTCCCCCCTGCCCTGGCAATATGTGTTCACTTTTTGGTAAAGAGTTTTACAAACAACCCTTCTGTTCTAGAGTTTTAGTTAAAATTCCTGTTTATGCAGATAAGGGGGAAGGTTACATGTGTGGAGTCTAGCAAGTAAATAGTTTGCTGGGCATTTTCTTTATGTGCCTGTGAAAGAACTCCCTCCCAGCCTCCTCATTTTTGGGGTTGTTTGTTCCCCTCTTCTCTCTCTCTCTCTTTCTCTCTGCCCGTGTGTCTATCAACTGGTTGCTAGGTAATCACCTGGTTGCTAGGGGATCTCCTAGGGAGTAGGGATTCCTCTCTCCCTGTAGCCAGGTCTATTGTTAAACTTCCCCCCTTTGGCCTGGGAAGGTGGTCCTAAGGCAGTGGTCCTTTCTCAAGGTGAGAGCGGACATTACTCAAACCCACCGGTCAGCATCAGTGATGCTGAGAAGATACCTGATGTTGGTTGGGTCCAGGTGGTGAGGTCAAGAGGGCTATTTAAGAGTCCCTCCAGGAAGAAGGCAGACAGACATTTTAAAGACACACACAAAGAAGCATGGACCTCCACAGCTGTGTCATACTCTGGATGTGGATGTGAGTAACTTACCAGGAACCTAACTAGGAACTTAGTTTAATGTACTCTAGTTGCATATCAAAAGGCTACCAAGATGCTTTTGTTTGCTCAGGGTTATTCTTTTGCTACTTCTCTGACTTGTACCCCTCCCCATGCCTACCCTCTCTACCCAATAAAGCTATAAAGCTGTCCCTTATAGCCAGCCTTGTTGTACATGCTTGAGATGGGTTGGGCAGGCCTTTTTGCTCCCTTTACTTGGCTGACTAAGGGAGGCCTCAGGCTATAAGAAGCACTTAGATATATCCTGCTGGGGTTAAGCAACCCCTAAGTCTACAGGGTCTGTTTGTCCTGGGTGGCACAAGGCCCAGAGAAAAACCTGAATCCAGGTGCTGGCAGCGGTACCCCAGGCTTGCTGGTGTGCTCCAGGAAGGGAGTTGGCCAGACCTAGGCACCCCAGGGGAGGCACTCGAAGGTTGGTTTTTGGTGGGGTGCAGTGAGGTGGGTGGCTCAGCACAGGAGCATCCCCTACTGGCCTGCCACAGTGCCAAGAGGTAGAACACAGAGTATATTGGGTATATACTGTATATTGTGTATATTGTGCATTTTATGGTCCTTCTGATCATTTTGGATGAAAAATTTCAATTGGATCAGGATTTCTTCATATCAGCTCTTTTTCCTCTTTTTTTTTTTCTGCTATTCTGGTTTCATTTCTTTCTTCTACTTTCTTTTCCATTACTTTTTTATGCTATGTATCTGTGTGATAAATTATTATATTTCTTGTTTGTTTTCTCCTTTCTAATCCCTTTCCTCCCATCTCTTGCACTATTTCCCACTTTTTCATTTTTTCTTTCTCTCTTCCCACTGCCCCTTCCTTGTTTTTTATCCCTTTGATTGCAGGTTATCCCACAGGAAGATGAATTTATGAGCAGCTTGATGTATAAATACATCATCCATGAGGACTTGCTGCCTATGATTGGAAACAATAATGTCCTTCTTGAAGAGATGGACACCTATGAGTGGGCTCTCAAGAGCTGGTCGCAGTGCTCCAAGGCTTGTGGAGGAGGTCTCTTTCTCTTTTATGTTTCTTACTACATTGAGAAATAGTTAGCCATGATAGTCTGAAGTCAGGCAGAAGGCAGGGTAGATTTATACCTTATACACTAATCAGGGTGTGAATTAAGGGGAAGCTGGGGCGGCGGAGCCCTCCCCGCCCCCAAGAGATGAGACCCCCCACCTGTAAGATTTGAAAATCATAACCTGGGGGGGGATCTCTGATTGGATTGCTCCTTCACTTAGATGGACTTGTTAATCAATGAACTGGTTTCATTTTTTTGCAGACCCCTCCCCAACAGTCAAAGTGTAATTTGAACCCTGACACTAATCACACCAGAGATATACAGTATAAACTTCTGTAAGCACAGGGCTTACTTCACAGCATCTGATGAAGTAAGTTCTCTCCATATGAAAGCTTATGCAATACAGCTCTGAGTTAGTTAGTCTATAAGATGCAAATCTAACCTGCCTTTTGTCTTACTACATAGTCACACATGTGTAGCTCTCAGATATCTTGGACATATAGGACATTAGAAGAATCCCATCAGCCCCTGGCTTCTAAATATCTGAATAGTCCTCTTCCTGAGCAATTCCAGGCCTTAATCTTATCTCATTTGAGATAAATTGAGATAAATTTTGAGAGAGTCAAATTTCCTTTGCACTATTCTGATGTACTTCATTTCTAAATCTGCTTTGATGCAGTCTCTATGCTTTCACATGCTTATGATTTCTGTGGATTCTTGGAACCTGGGATTTAATGCAGGGTAATGCGAGCATCCATTATAAAGATATGAACAATTATTGCCAAGCCTTCTTTGAAACAGCCTTACTCTATATGCACAAGGACAAATTTTTCAGCATGCATTTTTAATTATGCATACATAATTTTGAATGGATTTTGCACACTTAAAAGAAGTAATTCTGCATATGGTACAAATTTCTATGTACAAATGTAGGATTTGCCCACATTAGAAGCACTAGCAGGTTTTGTGGACTTGGTTAAGTAGGATCACTGAAAGTATTATTTTTTGGCTAGAAACAGACATTGCTAAATGAAGTGGATCAGCTGTACTGTGATGTGTCTCAGCACCGCTGATCTGCTTTACTGGGCAAAATGCACGTTGTCCCTTGTCCTGCCTTTGGTGGTGTGGAACAAGGGATGATGTGATCTCTGGATGTGGTTTTGGGCTCAGCCAGATCCATCCCCATGATTGGCTTTCCCCACTCAGCCAGACTTGCTCCAGTGATTGCTGGGGTTGGGTCTTGGTGAGATTCCCTGGGGTGCCTCTCTGTAAGCATGCAGAGCTGGGTAGGTGTTCTGGGGGCTTGAGGGGCTCTCAAGCCCCTAGAACACCTGCCTGGGGGGGTTGGAGGGTGCAAGCAGCTCAGGCTG